CCCCAAAACCCCAAAACCCCAAAACCCCAAAACCCCAAGTATCTTATTTTGTGTTGAATTATCCAATCACAGCTGCTTATTTGTCATTCTTCCTCTGATCTTTCTTAAATTTGTAGGTCATGACTGGTTTTAAGACTGCTATTATTTTGATCAGGTTGAAGTATTCAAGATCGGATACAACATCTTCTACTTTCTTGTAAGCCTCTGGGGCTTCCTCGTATAGGAGGTCCTTGTTCTCACAGACAACTCTATTTTCAAGAGGAGTTTTCAGAAGAGATTCGATATTTTTATGAGTGTGTTTTCCCTTAGCTAATGCTTTGGACCTACTCATTTTTCGACCAGCTCCATGTGCTAAGGAGTAGCCGCTAAGCCAAGCGTTCTCCTCAAGTGGCTTTACTAAGTAGGAGTATGATCCCCTGCTTCCTGGGATGACTACATATCCTTTGTCTGCTGGTGTGGCTCCTTTCCTATGAATCACCACTTTCTGTTTGATTAGATCGCAACTTTTCCAGTCTTCGTCCAATGGGTCGACTTGGGTTGTTGGAATCAATTTTTCTTCGATTTCCATATAATTATGCCAGATATCAATGGATCAGTCGAGCCTGTCAAGGATTTTGATATCTGTTTGAACATCAATTTTGGTTTCTTCTTGGTTGAACTCGCCCTCTGCTTCATCTAAAGCTTCACTGTCTCCGAGCAATTCTTTAATGAATCTCATGGCAATGCATGCTCTGTTCCGTTTGGCAAAATTACAGGCGTCATCGTGTTCTTGGAGGTATTGGTCGTATTCAGGAGTGTCTGGTTCGAACCCTTTCACTCCATTTTGCTGATATTCTGTGATAAATTTATCTAATACGTGTTTCCCATACCCTCTGCTACCACTATGTACTAATAAGTATGCAGAATCTTCAGTGAAATTAGCTTTTTCAAATTCTTCTTGGTCTAGGATTTCTTCGAATACTTGAAGCTCACAGAAATGGTTCCCTGCTCCAATAGTTCCGATTTGGTTGAAGAATTCTTTTCCAAATTCTTTAAGAGCGGGGACATTTTCTTCTGTTGCCCATTTAAACTCAAAGTTGGCGAGCTCTTCATGGTCTCATTCTAAGTAAGTGTCTATGGATCTGAGCCTTTTAGCCCATTTCTCAATTGCTTTTGTTTTGATCTTGCTTGATGGAATAGGAGTTTTGATAAAGCTCATTCCACATCCAATGTCTGTACCTATCAGAGGTGGATATATCACTTCATTGGTAATGATACTAGACCCAATCGGGTATCCCCTTCCTGGGTGTAAATCTGGCATCCCTATTGAGAATAAGACGTCCTTGTGAGTGAGGATAACATTCTTTAGTTGAGCTTCAGCTTCCTCCTCATATATAGTATCTTTACAAATGACATGCACTCCTGCGTTGAGACTTGAGTCGCTCTCAACCAGTTGGCTGAGAAAGTACTCTTCAGTTATTTGAGTGAATTTAGCAGCCTGTTTCTTATTCAAACAGGCTAAGATTAGTTCCTGCTTTCTAAGCTTTCTGAGCTTAAACAGTTTAAGTAGATCCCTAAAGGAATCTATCAAGTATCCTGCCTCTTCATCAAACAAAGAGGCAAAGTTTGTTTTAGAGTTTAGTTTTATTTTTCATGTTTTTATAAATTTCTTCCAGAGTGTACCTTTGGGGTCAAAGCTCTCTGGGTCGGCCATCATGCTCTCTGCATCAAAGCCTTCTTGGTCAAACCAGAATGCCTTCTGGAGATTTTGATTTCCGTAAGGGAAGACAGTGATGTAGTCAAGTTCCAATTGGTCCATTTTAATTAATTATTTTAGCCAATTATGGCCAGGTATTTAGGGGTTTTGGGGTTTTGGGGTTTTGGGGTTTTGGGG